TAGCCTAATATTTGAAAATTTATGAGATGCCTACGGTAATAAGTAAATTTGAGAGATGAATGTTCCTCAAATGCCTGATGCGTTCATTCATAAGGTATTTAAAAATACACACTGTATGTGTACATCTGTAAGAGAGGAACGTTACTCAAATGTCTGGTGATAATAAATGCATCTTAGTTCAGAGAGGGGAATGTTCCTCAAATGTCTGGTCATAACAAATGTATCTGAAATTAAGAGAGAAGAACGTTCCTCAAATGTCTGTTCATAACAAATGCATCAGAAGTACAGAGAGAGGAATGTTCCTCACATCTCTGGTCAGAACAAATGCATCTGAAGTTCGAGAGAGGAATGTTCCTCAAAAGTTTGGTCATAACAAATGTTCAGAGAGAGGAACATTCCTCAAATCTCTGGTCATAACAAATGCATCTGAAGTGTAGAAAGAGGAACGTTCCTCAAAAGTCTGGTCATAACAAATGCATCTGAAGTTCAGAGAGAGGAACGTTCCTCAAATCTCTTGTCATAACAAATGCATCAGAAGTGTAGAAAGAGGAACGTTCCTCAAAAGTCTGGTCATAACAAATGCATCTTAAGTGTAGAAAGAGGAACGTTCCTCAAATACTTAAAAAAAATCTTCAAAAAGGGAACTTGTGGAGACACATATAAGGATCTTAAGACCAAAATGACTTCAGATTGTAAACGTTGGGTGAAAAAAAAGGAATTTTGATTTTCCCTTTTTGTTTTGGATTGTGTTTATAACTGATTTCCCTGGTGACATCCGTTGCAATTAAATGACAAGGAACTTAATATAAATGATATCATGGTAAAAAATTGTGTTTCCCAAATCATGGATTTTTTAATGCATGAAAGTATACATGTATGTCACTCTGTGTTAAGGTTAAAACTTAAAAAATGTAAGAGCAAGTCATTACTCAGTAGATCAGATATCAGAAGACATCTTTTTTTCCTTCTTCAAATTTTTATGACTGTCCTGTATGTGTTTAAATCTAATACATTGTGGTAATTAAAATGAGAGATTTTTGTATAGATAGCATGCTTTTTTAGTAAAAAAAATTTTACTAACCAATTAATGTTTTTTTTTTTTTGATTTTTATTTTATTTTTTTTTTTTTTTTTGCGAAATTACTTTTTTAAGAATTTGGATTTGCATCAATCTTAATTTTTTTTCCTATCCAAAAAATTAAAAAACTGACAGCATTTATTTACAAGAAAAAAGAAAATCACAGCACACAGGGTAATTCAAAGGCTAGGAATTTGTAAGGAAAGATTTGGTCTGCATTAAAATCCAATTTAAGATTAAATTGGAATCTTTCATATGATAATTATTCATGCTAAAATGCAAAGGAAAAGGGGAAAAAGTGAAGATTATATGCACTATTGGTATAGAAGTGGACTATTGTGTTGAAGCAAGGTAACTAAAGATTTAAGAAAAGATAATTGTATTCAACCAACTATCCTCCGTGCTAGTACTTTCTTTAAGTTTTTCACAAATTAAAAGACTTGCAGAAATTTTTTTTGCTTGTGGTATAAACAGTTTCCCTTTCTTGTTAAACATAGTCAATAATTTTAAGTTTAATACATGTTCAAAAAAAAAAAATACCTGGTACTTTTAAATCCCCCCCCCCAATTTCAAAAATAAAACAAACTTTTGGAGTCTCAATTATTGAAAACCCTTGTGGAACCTGAGAAAGTCACACACACAAAGAAAAGTTGGTTTGACCTCCACAAAAAATATTTTTACACACTCTCAACTTGGTCTGTTGCCACAACATTGTCTCCATCCGAAATATTCATGTATTTCAGTGGGTCAAAAACGTCCTCCTGAAATGGGTTCTGTGACTTCTCGGGTTTAAACGTGTCAATCCCAAAGGGATTGTCCAAGTCCTGTACATGCAGACATTCGGACTGGGAGTGGCGGTACCTGTCCGTCCAAGCAAAGGAGGAGGGAAGGCCCTGGGGGGCACCTTGGGAGCTCTGCAAGGAGAATACATGGGTGGATCTAGGATCTAGGTAAAATATACATGTACCACATAGAATATTTTGTCATCACATGGGGGTTGGGAAAGAAGTTATAAGCATAATTTCTTTAATGCATAAGGTTATACAATTATAAGCAAAGCATTCATATATATCACAGTCACAATTAAATATAATAAGTATATCTTGAAGTGATAGGAATTTTAGTGAGAATTTTTAATGGGAGCACTCAAAGTTCTCTGTAGATTGTAATTGATAATTACAGTGCTGAGATATCTACTGATTTCAGACGTCACTTTCTACTTTGCTCTTCAAATATTTTTCTCCAAAACTAAATTTACACCTTGGATATTTCTCTACTGATATCACAGATATCAGCTGACACTTACGACTCTGGGCTTTTTGTAGGTAGGTAATTAATGACTTGGCCGCCACAGGATCTTTTAATAGGACCCTGATGTTCTTGCCTCCCACAAAAAGATCAACCACATGTTCAGCTGAAATGATAATTTATTTAATGTTTAGTAAATTATGAAAAAGTATTTTTTTAAAAGAAAAACAAATTTTATTAAAAGTATTAAAAAGTCTCTTTCATCACATGAAGCAAAAAGTCTAGTACAGAATTTAAGACTTTAATATATCTAAAACAGATGTATAATACAACAATTGATATAAATAAATACATTCAGAATTATACACTTTAAAGATTTATTTCCATAAATAATAGATTGATTATAAATATAAAAACTTTATACAGGGAAATTTTCGCCCCTTTCGCCCTACCCAGAGGTGGGCGAATTAAAACGGGGCGAATTATAAATAAATAGCATGATTTCTTAAACAGAATTGTAACTGAGCGAATTTAAAACAGGGCAAACTTGTTTCCGAGTGTGAAAGGGCGAAAATAAAATGGGGCGAAAATAACCCTGCATACAGTAATGTGATTAAATAATGAAGAATACATATGAATGGGGTAACATACTGTTTTTCAGAGGATCAAAAGTCATCCAGAGAAGACTGTCTGTTGACATTGTCTGTAAAACAGTCAGAAAAACAACTGATTATACATGTAGTGTAAAACACAGAGAGAGAGAGAGAGAGAGAGAGAGAGAGAGAGAGAGAGAGAGAAACACTCAATCACAGCTCCAGATAATTTTTTAGTGCATATTGCATTATTTCACTCCTGATTTTTAATTCAATGCTGCAGATTTTGCTTCTCTGGGCAAAAAGCTAAATGTATCTAGCTATCTTTAAAAAAATAACACTGAGTTTACCTCAGTTATGTCAAATTAAATATGTGGAACTTTGAAACCAGTATTCAATCTGTTGCACACATAACTTTCCAAATGAAATGCATATTTACAAATGCTAATTGTATAAACTGTATGCCCATTTTAAATTTTCTTTTGTCTTTTGTAAAATTCAATGCATCTGTCTTCAAATAAACACCTTATCTGGAGCTCTAACTGTCCAGAAAACAAAATCAATACAGCAAAACTCGGTTATAATGAAGTCACAGGGACGTTTGAAATTACTTCGCTATATATGTAATTCTTTATAACTATATAAGATATTCATTAAATTTATATAACTGGGGATCCAAGATGACTTCGCTATATCCATAAATTCACAATATCCGTGTTCGTACAAAATGAGTTTTGCTGTACAATTTAAATACAAATTGAAGTTCACAATCAAAAAAGAAAAAGAAGTTGAAAACTCTTTTCTCCCTCTGCATGCAATTTAAAAAAAAAGGAAGTTATTTTTCTCATCTCTTTGTCAAGTTCATGTGGGAGACATGCTGACAAAGAGATAAAAAACATAATTGGGTAGAGACATGTTATAGAGACCAGGTACTAGTATCCCTCCCCCCACACACACTTCATTAATAGTTTGGTATTAATAATTGTGATAATACTATAAGGATATAAACAGTATACAGTTCTATGTACTTGATCATGAGTCACATGCTCATAGTAAACTATACACCTCACATGATAAATAATTAAATATATTTTAAATTTAATTAATAATAATTAAGATTCCTCTTTTTCTCAAGTAATTAACGAGCACGGAGATCAAGATATCACTTAACCTCTACGAGTTCACATGATTGAATAATTTAGTAATTCACATGTTTAACATATTATGGGAATATTGATATGAAAAATACAGTGTAATTTCTTAGTTAATCTTTTTTCCGATGAAAATGAAGATAGAGATGCATGGTAATTATGTCTTTGTGATGTTTGTCAACTAAAGAACAAGATATAATGAGCCCACTAATGCACTCTTGATCAATAATACTGTCAGATTCTCAGACCATATACATGTATTATTATGTTCATATAGGCCAGGATGGTACAACATTTATCAAGGCAGAGTATCCCCTCAAAAAGAGCATATGCGTTTCAGTAAATCAAGGCAGCAATTGATCTCCATGTAAATTACATCACTTCTACTTCACACAGGACATAACCAACAAACAAACACACACACACACACAACTGTATTACTATGTGACCTTTCCAACACTGTTGTGAGGGGATTATAATGAGCTCAGACACTACAAAAAAATCTGAGGCCTGTTCAACAGACCAAATGTTCATGAGCACTCCCCAAAATTCCTTATACCTCCAATAAAAAAGTTCCCGAGCACTTGCTCTTTCTCATGGTTTGCATGTGTTGTGCAGTGCTTTTTTGTCGACTTACTTTGTCGGAAATGGAAATCCTCGTTAATTTTGATCACATCCTCTACAGATAAATCATTCTCACTGGTGCAGGGGATTCCCCGGGAAGAAAACAGGAATAACCTAAATATAAATATAACATAAAAATAAAATGACCTAAAAAATGATACCCCACAAAAGTGTCTGAGTTTGTCATATAAGTCACCTACTGTTACCTTCTATTTTAAATGGATAACAAGTTATCTGTAAAAAATTCTTTACTGATAAAACATTTGAAATGATTTTGTTGTTGGTGGTGGGGTGGGGGGTAAACCTCAAACTTAAGAAATGAAAGCTGGGTAAATGTAACTATAACTTAAATTCTTTATGAAAGGTGTACATGTTCTTTATTTTCTTGGTAATTACCAGTAAATTTTTTCCCCTAGAAAATTATGTCTCAAATATACTCACGCTGTATCTGCCTGTTTCTGTATACTGCGATGTACCGTTCTGCTTGGATGTTGTCCTCTATGATCCGACCCAGAACACAGTGCAGTAATTAAGGAAGCTCATGCAGTAGGTCATTGAATTTTTACTTGACCAATAGTACTAGACTAAGTACATGTATACCATCTTAAGCCACATTTAATCATGATAATATTATAACTACATGTTTTGTAATTATTTTAATGCTTTGATTTTTAAAAGTGGTTTAGGTATAATAAAGAATAAAAATTATATCTGTTCAAAAATTGATGACAATTACCGGTAGACTCTATAAATTACATAAATCAGTAAATTCCTGTATTCAAAATTTAGTGCAATAACTGGGAATTGAGATTTTGGCATATTCAGGAATTAGCACTGCATAGGTCTGCAACATATATATTATGTATCAATGATTTATTTTTAATGGTATTCATGAATCAGTGCATTTTGCAATTAATATTATCTCTTTTAACAATAAATAGCTACATATTTTGGGCTAAAAATTATAATATAATCATTGATAACCAGTTCTTCTAATAGAGTTTTGTAAATTAATGATCTACATTTTTTCTGATGCATTTTACACAGTATGGTAAACACACAGAAGAAGAAATCTGGAGACAACAGAGATAATGAACACTTTAAAGAAATCAAGGGGAAGGTACAAAGAGATCTAAGAAGAGCATACTGGAACTACATCGAGGGAATAGTAACACCTAAGGTAGAGGATGAGCAATATAGCGGCCTAAAACGCTTCTGGACCTATATAAAACACCAAAGAACTGACAACAATGGAATCTCACTCAAACCGCAGTGAAGGAGTGCTACATGCCAATCCGACTGACCAGGCAGAAGTGCTAAACAAGCAGTTCCAGTCCGTATTCTCAGAGAAGACACATATCAGTACTGAAGAATTTACTCGTGACTGTCCTATGAGTGGAAAACACCCAGTTGCACCAGAACTGCACATCACCCATAATGGAATTCTAAGACTATTGAAAAATCTGAATCCATATAAAGCAGCGGGCCCAGATGGTATCAAACCTAGAGTACTGAAGGAGCTGGCTGACAGCGTGACCCCTATTCTCACCATCATCTTTAAGAAATCCCTAGAAAGTGGAGAGATACCGTCGGAGTGGCGTAAAGCTCATGTTAGCCCGATTTTCAAAAAAGGGGATAGATACAAGGCTGAGAATTATCGACCCATCTCCCTTACATGTATCTGCTGCAAGCTCATGGAGCATATCATCACCAGCCATATAATGCAACACGCTGATACCAACAACATACTATACCCACTTCAGCATGGTTTCCGTAGCAAGAGATCCTGTGAATCCCAACTCATTGAGTTTATAGATGACATAACCAATCATATGGCTGCCGGAAAGCAGACAGATGTATTGATCATGGACTTTTCCAAGGCTTTTGACAAGGTCAGCCATAGCCTCCTCATCCATAAACTCCGACATTACGGGATCCAGGGAAAAGTGAACAATTGGATTGCTAGCTTCCTGTCCAACAGAACACAAGCTGTAGTAGTCGAAGGAGAAATGTCCAGCTATGTCAACGTTGACTCTGGAGTGCCCCAAGGGTCAGTCCTTGGGCCATGCTTATTCCTGTTCTATATAAACGACATGCCAGAAGGCCTCAATACCGCAGTAAGACTCTTTGCTGATGATACCATCGTATATCTTACTGTCACGTCAGAACTGGACACACAGACACTCCAGGCAGACCTTGATAAACTGGGCATTTGGGAAAGGAAGTGGAAGATGGAATTCCATCCTGATAAATGTAATGTACTATCAGTCAGCAGGAAGCCAAACCCAATACATCACGAATACAAGCTACATGGCCATACTCTAGAACACGTTAAAAGAGCGAAATACCTCGGCTGTCTTATAACATCAGACTTGAAATGGAGCGATCATATAAGTAACATCTGTAGCAAAGGAAACAAGACCTTAGGATTTCTCCGCCGAAATTTAAATTCAGCTCAACATCAATAAAGGAGAATGCGTATAAGTCATTAGTTAGACCGCAGTTGGAGTATGCAGCACCTGTCTGGGACCCCTACACCCAAAAAGACATCCATAATCTGGAAATGGTCCAACGACGTGCTGCACGCTATGTAAGCAATAGGCATGGAAACAGGTCAAGTGTGGACAGCATGATACAACATCTGCAATGGCAAACACTGGAAGAACGTAGGCGAATCTCCAGACTCGTCCTGTTTTATAAGATCGTTCATGATGAAGTTGCCGTTACCAAGCATGATCGACTTATTCCACCACTACGTCGATCACGACATACTCACCAAGAAGCCTACCAATTACCATCTTGTAAAAGTGACTATAGAAAATTCTCGTTCTTCCCTCGTACCATCAAAGAGTGGAACCACCTACCACCAGAGATTGTCATGGCAAAAACACTTGAGACCTTTAGGTCTCAGGTGACCACCTATATGCCATGAATCATAATTAATATTTTAACCTTTTAACCTTTTAAATTTTTATGATTTTGGAACTCCATGCGCACCACACATGCCATAATAATCAACTAGTTGATTGTGGGCAGTACATGGCAGAAGCAGAAGCAGAAGCACACTGACAACTAAGTTTTCTTTCCTCATTTAACTGATCATTGTATATTAAAGCATATATCAAAAGTAATCATGCTGCTAACATGATCTACTATATGAATGATCAAAGTTACATATAGTGGCCTATATGTATACAGTGGCCTATATGTGTACAGTTAATAAGCTTCCTCGAGAACAGCGCCTACTAATCAGGACATCAGGAAGTGAACAGCCGACTTCCCCCTACGACTTAATGTTTAAACGACCACACTCGTACACTGATGTTGTACCGGTAACTACAGACTTCAGTGTTAGTGATTGTCTTTCACTCTTAATTCATGTGAATGCAATACATAACATTTTAATTCTGTGCATAAAAATTGAGATAATTAACTATGTTCAAAGCTTGATTAATTTCAGTTAATCAATAAGTTAATGTTAGAATTTCTAAAAATGATTTTAAAAAGACTGTGGTTTTTGTTTACACTGTGCTTTTGATTT